TAAAACCAAAAACGCTGCAAAAAGAGCTGAAAAGAAGCCACACTCTTGCATTATTCCAAGTCTTTCAAGTCATGGGTCAAGTCTGAGCTACCGAGAGGGAGAAAGAGAAAAGATAGGAATTTTAATGCCAATATGAACTACGTTGTCCACAGCTCCAAGTGTCAACAGGGGTAACAATCAGTACAGCAGGAACCCTGTTGGAGCAACATGGAGACACCTGGGTTGCAGAAGCGTCCCAGATGCTTTGAGCAGAGCCAGGCATCGCAGCTCCTGGGTCAGCAGATGGTCGATCCATTTGTCCTGGTGGAGTGGTACTGGCTCCTTCCCGAATCAAAGCAAATACTTCAATATTTTAACAATCAGTTAAATCAGTAGTCAGTACTGGTGCATACCAACTGAAAATCAACCACGAGACAAGACATGCCCTTAGGAGACAGGAAAGGGAAATTCAGGGAAAAAAATCACAGTTGGAAGCAGACGTGGAGAAAAAAAATATAACATACAGACTGTTTAATATATGAGTCATTCAGAGACTATGCAGCATTATACAAAGATATTCTGGCTATGCACATGGAGTCTTCAAAAAGTTCATGGAAAGTGTGTATTGGGCAAAAAACTACATATGGATTTCGAAATTTTTCGCACCAAAATAAACTTGTCTTTTAACTCATTTTCTATAAACATTTTGAAGTACACCCACCATATAAAACAATCAGAAATGTTAAAGTTGGAGTTGAAGGGACTTTGATTATGACTTCTACAACAGAAACCTGTGGGAAAATTTCAGCAGTCTTGGAAACTTTTTCTTGGTGTGGACATTAGGAATGTCTTGATTCACTATTATTAAATCATTTAACACCTTATATTATCATTAGAATTCCATTTCTATAAGAGATGTGAAAGTCTGTAGATAAAATCTTAGCACTTCAAAGACAGAGATAACATGAAGTGGAAGCAAATATAAAGAAGATATATAAGAAATAATTTTCAGAAAGTATTAATTAAAAAAAAAAAGACAAAACCAAAACTCAGGTGACAGAGTCTGGGACAGCTCGACCAGATGGCACCATGGTGGAAAGTTAAGTGAGGAGTCCTTGTGTCAATTTACAACTAATTCACAAACGATAAACTAGTCCCTGATGTTTCCCATACAGACCTTTATACTTTCTAAACACCTTTTAGAGCCCAGTATAAAGCACCTCAGATTAATTATAAAAGATAATGGTAAGGGAGAAAAAGTTGCCATATAATACAATGGGGGCTCTTCAATCACTGTCCAAAATTAAAAACTCATCACTGCAAAGTGATATTTCACTTATTCAACTTCCTCAACTATCCAGACAGAGCACAGATGGAAGAGGAAGTGTAAGACACAAAGAAAACCCTCTAAAACAACACAAATAAATGTCACAAAGGTCAGGCACTGGAACTTACAGACTGACTGACAGGAAAGTCCCTTTGGTCCTCAGAGTCCACGCACTGTCGGGCACTCCTCTAAGAGTGGGCTTAGCTGGTTTTTAGTAGGGGTTTGAAGTTGTCACGCAAAAAGGAGAGGGTTGGACATGGTTTGTTAAATTCAGGTACATTAGGAACAGTAGGAAGGAAGCCGGGACCAAAAAAAAAGAGCCAGAAAATTCATAAACACAAAAAGCCATTATTAGAGGCTAAAGTGCCCAAGTACACTGACCCACATCTGGTGCACAAAGGCACAAATACAAATAACCAATGATCACACCACTCTCCCTAACCAGTGGAGGCACAGTCAGTCCGAATCTAAACTTTAAAAAGAGGAGAGAAGTGACAAGTGCATTTCAGGTGCATGGGTAAATTGAAAGCACTCCCAGTGATGCAAGGTGGAAGAAACAATACTCCATCAGCAACTCTGTAACTGCCATCTACTCCGGCTCTATGCAATAGGTAACATAAGCTTTGTTTTCTTTCTTAATAATTATAGGATTCCTTCTGTTGTAACTCAGAAGCACCCTCCTGCAACGTGATTAGCGCGTGGTAAACATTCTTATGTAAAACCAGGGTGCACTGACATTAGGGGTTTTTCCTATGGTCACACAGGAAGTTTTCAGGCCAAAAACGTTCCAAGCAAGTCAGTGTTATCTTCAATCTCTTTCCAAGTTAATTCTGGAGATGTTTAATAGGTGAGACTTCAGTGGTGAGAATTAAGGTTAAGAATGAAGTACGCAAAAGCAACTCACAATACTGGATAAATAATAAGGCTAAATTCGGCTATTGTTACAGAAAAATGGCAAGAATGGCGATGCTATAGTGGATCACAAAACTGTACCTAGCAACAGGTAAAGGACACTGAAGCTCATTCTGTATCTTCTCTCCCTGTGTTCCAGACTAAATCCATGAATGTACCACTGGCCATGGCAAGGCCATAGCAATCAATTTCCATTTGTAACACCTCTCGGGACACTAAGCTAATATTGAAACAAGAAACAGCAAGTCTGCAGGCCTGACCGAGTAAACTCTGGTGGAGGCTGGGAAACCCTCAAGAAGAGGAGTATCATGGGCCAGGGGTCTTAAAAGCAGGCTCCTCTCAGCACAACAGACACGTGGCCACGTCATGTTTAGTACTTAGAAGAGCTTTCACAAAACGAGCCATCTTCTAGCGAATCCCTCGGGAAAGATTCGTCCTTAGAGAACTGCATAAATGTCAAAACTGACGGAGCAACATGGCAATCAAATCAACCATAACATAATATGAGGGCCAAACATACCCATATAAGGGAATGGAAATTGTGAAGGTCAAAAAAAGAAGTAGCAGTAGTAGCATTTCCAGCAAACTACTGGGAACGACCACAGTCACATTCCATGAGGATCTTCAGCACCCACCTGTTATCCTCAAATCTTGAACCTTGAAGAAACATTGCAATCAACCTGAGCATGTGCAGAAAAATAGCTCTATGTTGCCCCCTAGTGCTGGTCAGTCCCACTGCTCCTTAGGCTACAAACTACAAGGTGAGTGGTTCCTCTACTTCTAGCTACTTCCTGCTGCCAACCCTCCCAAGAGCTAAACATAGCCCAATCCTCTCTCTGCCCACAGATTAGGAAACACCAGGCTATTTTTAGCACCATGCATCTTAGGAATGGAAATGGCCCAGCCTCAGATGGCAAGAGAATGTGTGTGGCCTGGCTTAATGAACTCACCTCTACTGAGGGTGTGAACTTACTGAGTAAAGTGGCCAATGGTTGCACGTGGCCTGAAAGCTCTGGGGCCCATTACAAAGCAAGGCTAGCACGTGGGTCACAAAAGAGAGCCACAAGGAAGGGACAAAGAGACAGGCTGCCACAGAGAGATGCCACAAGGCAGTAGGAGAAATGGTAGGGGACAATAAAAAAAAAAAGGAAAAAAATTATAGAAGCTAGGAATATTGTGCATTATGGTCATTCTAGACAGGCTTGTCTAGCAAGAAGGCATATTTTGAACTGGACGTTTATTTTATAAGAGTTAGAACAAAGGTTGGTCTGATGTGTTTCCTGCCTGGGTACAGCTGGTGCTTGGCTCCTTTGATCACTTTCCCCCAGTGCTCTGCAGCTCCTGTGATTAGAGATGGATCCTGGGCTGCCCTTTGATCAGCAGCTCAAGGGGCCTGCAGGTGCCATGTGCCATCACATTAGCAAGTTGCAAGAAGCAGCCACATTAATATTGACTGATAAAAGTGATGCCATGTCTCGCTGCCGGAGCAACAAACACAAACAATGTCTGTAAACTCCCAGGAACCCTTCTTTTATCTCTTTTCCTACCCTAGTACTTTCTGTGCTGCTTTTATGAAGAGCACTCTCTGGAACTTTGAAATAGCCCCACCATGGGAAGGAAACAGGACCGAGAGGTACAGCACACCCCCTTTTGAGGTTCCAGGTACACCCCTTCTGTTTATTTCTCCTGGTTAGTGCCGTGACAGCCTCCCCGCATTCTGAACAGATGACACACAAAGCAGAAAAACATGCACATTTCTTTTCAAATAACAGTAAGAGCCACCACTTGTAAACAGGGTGTTTAATATTCCAGTTTTAGACAGCCTACATTAACATTGTGGTTTCATGTGCAGTATAAAATTTCTATTTACAAAGTCTACTCAAAAATGACTTCATAATGGCAGATCAAGAGAAAAAGAGTTTAGAAATTGAATGATGTAAATCATATGGGGTTCAGAGGCTAAGCAAATTACACACCCTGGAGCTGCCCCGGCGGTATGAAAGGAGCCTTTCTCCAGCTCCGTGCAATCCCAGCCCAAGGGAACTTGCATCTGAGAGTTTTCTAAACATTTCAGGTACACTTGAAAGCTGAAAGTAATTCTCATTTCCTATGCAGGATTAAGTCGTTTCCAGCACACACAAAATAGCAGTCATTCACTTACACATACAAAAACACACCACCAGAAAGGTAAGACTTCAGAGTACAAAGGCAAGGCACGTTAAAAAAGAGAGAGAGAGAGAAGAAAAGAAAGAAAAAAAGAAAAAGAGAGAAAGAAAAACTTGGGAGCGCAACAGAAGTACTTTTTTAAATCTGCCCTAAAAGGTGCGCATCAAGGTCTCTCGACTGCCGTACCTCCTACCTACTTACTGATTCATTGATGCCTTTCCATCTAAGCCCCCCTCGCACCTCCCACAGCCCCCAAAACCTTGAGTCAAGTCCAACGGGCCAAGACTCATTCATTTCAACTTCGTTTTTAAAGGCAGCTCTCGATCTCGTGCCGTGAGCCGGAGCCGCCACGCGCGTTCCGCCACCGCTCCCGGAAAGGCCCCCTCTCCGGGGCTGCAGGGGCACGCACGCTGCCCCCGCTGCAGCTGGGTGGCAGCCCCAGAAAAGTTGCCAAGCACACGTTAACCCACCTCCCGCGAGCCCGCGCCAAGGGCCGGCCGCGCGAGGCGAGAGGGCACCCTGGCGGGCTGGGGTCCCTCTCGCGCCCGCGCGCGGTGCCCACGTAACGCACACGGCGAGCGCAGGCAAGGCGCACGGTGGGGGGGCCCCGACTCACCGTTCTGCTCCTTGTTGCTGGAGAACTGGAATTTACTACTGAGGTTGGACTCAGCCTGAGTCCCGGGTCTCTGGCCGGCCAGGGCAGATGTCAGCAGGAAAAGCCCGAAGAGGAGCATTTGGCTGAGTGGGGCGAGCGCTCACGCACGGCGGGCACAGGGCAAGCAGCGACTCCCGAGTCTCTCTCACCGCCGCCAGGGGAAGGCTGCACTGGGGTGGAAGCGCCGCGCCTGCTCTGGCAGCAGAGAATCGCAGGGTAGTTTCCACATAATCCCATCCAAAACTTTTTCCTAGAGCCCTCTTCTGTGTCTCCAGTTTTTTGAAAAGGATCAAAGCAAAACCTGGACCTGAACCAGTTTCCCAAGGTTTAAACAAATCCTGAGCTGTGCCGAAGTGGTGGGGGTGGGGGTGAAGGCGAGGGAGGAAAGAGGGGGGTGGGGACGCGGGGGAGCCGGGGGAGCGGCGAGGAGTCACCAGCGAGTCGCTGGGAGCACCTGTCAGTGCGGGGGCCGCGACGCAGGCGACCCCTCCGGGCTCGTGCGGAGCCGGCCTCCCAGCCAAGTCCGCGGCCAGCAGTTTCGGATCGATAACAAAGCTGCCGATCGATGCGGCGCCGCGGGCGCCCCTCTCCCCCGCCCCACCCCCACCCCCGGCGGGGGGAGGGGGAAGACTCCAGGCGAGGGCGCCGCGGCGGGTCCCCACGCGCGCCGCGGCGCCGGAGCGGGGCTGGGGGCTCGGGGTCGAGGCCGCCCCGGGCGCAGGCGGAGGGGAGGCCGCGGGGGGCTCCCGCTCCGCGCGCGGGCGCGCCGCCTGCGCCGGGTCCCGACCGCCGCAGCACGAATCCCGGCACCTGGCTTGAGTGTTTTTTTTTCCAAAGTTCACCTTGTCCGGGCGCGTCCCCGGCTCCTCGAAGCCCTGGGAGGGCGGCTCGGCCGCTCGGGGTCACCGCGGGGGGCTGCGCTCGCTCGCCGCCCCCTCCCCCTACGCCTCGGGCTCGGCGCTAAGCTCGGGGCGCGGCGGGCGCGGCGTCTCCGCACGGCGTGGAGAGGAAAGGCCCGGGCGGCCGGGAGGCTCCGGCTTGTCCCCTCCCCTTCGCTGCCTTCCCCCAGCCGGGCGGCGGGCGGGAGGTGGGGGCCGTGGGCCCGGCGCGGGCGGCGCGAGGCCGAGCCGCTCTCCCGCGGGCGGCCGTGGGGGGCGGGCGCGGGGCGGCAGCCTGCGGGGGGCGCAGCCCGGACCGCGTCCCCCAGCGCCGGCGCGGGCCTCCAGCTGGCGGTCCGACAGGTGCTGGCACGGCCCGGCCCAGGCCGGCGCTAGGGGACCCGGAAGGACCCCCGCTGGGGAATGCCGCAAGGACGCCCCTAACCCCAGAGCAGAAGCAAGACCAGGACCAGGATTGGGGCGAGAACTTCCTGCAACTCGCATTCCACCCCTACTGCCTGGAGCCGCGACGGGTCCTGGTTCATTTCCGAGGGGATCCCCTCTCCCAGAGGGCTTGGCCAGAGTCTCCGCTCTGAAGCCACAAGGGAGATTGAGGTCAAAGACTTCCCTGCAACCTAACAGGTCCCTGAAGCAAGATGAAGACAGTCAAAATGATCGCATGCAGTCAACAAATAGTACCACCGTGCTCACTGTGTGCCCGCTGTGCCACGCACTGCTGCAGGAGCTGGCGCGGTAGCAGCCACAACAGGCAAAAATCCCTGCGCCTGGGAAGCGGGCATGCTGGTCGGACAGCCTTGGATTATGGCCAAGAGGATGTCTAGAACCACCCAGGCCTCAGTGTTTGTCATTCCTAAAATGCAGCCTCTCAGAAAACTAGGCTGTCAGGAACCCCTGGCGGTAGAATTGTTTACCTCTCCAACAAGAGGGGTTAGCACCTAGGTCCGCCTGTTGCACGTGTCCCAGGCAGGTTTCTGGGGTGCGAAAGCTCTTAGGAGGTTGTCTAAAACCAGGTCAGCAGGGCCTATATAGGGGTTCCACGTTTAATGCAGGAGTCCGTGGCGGCTCCTGGGAGGAGCAGAAATCCTTAGGAAAGTGTTGAAGGGACAAGCGCCCCCTTCCCCCAAAATAAAAGAGACACGTTTGGAATAATTTTTAAAAATCAAAATTCAAAAGGAAAAATCATTGTCAAGCAAGTTCAGTGGCAGGCAAGTCAGAATTATCTCCCACCGTGTTGGTGGGCAATTCGGTGCAGACCATGCCAGTTCGGTGGCCAGGGACACTCAGGCTGGGCGAGAGGATCAAGAGAACAGTGTCCCTCAGACCAAGGAGTAGCGTCTGGTGAGAGACATATGCCCACCAGACCAAACTAGGAGCTGAGTCTCTCTCAGCTATGCTGTGAATGCCAAGCCCTCTGATTCCACCTGAGATGGACTGAAGCCAACCAACCAGACTGCCCTGCTTAGAATATTTTAGTCCTGGGGCCCTAGGTTAATCCTCCACCTGCGGCCCCGCATCCCATAGAGGCACCAGTTCTAGTCCTGGCTGCTCCTCTTCCTGTCCAGCTCTCTGCTGTGGTCTGGGAAGGCAGAAGAAGATGGCCCAGGTCCTTAGGCCCCTGCACCCGCATGGGAGACCAGGAGGACACACCTGGCTCCTGGCTTCGGGTCAGTGCAGCTCCGGCCGTTGCGGCCATTTGGGGAGTGAACCACTGGATAGAAGACCTTTCTCTCTCTCACTTTCTGTAACTCTACCTGTCAAATAAACAAATAATAAAAAAAAAAAAACTTTTAAAAAAAGAATATTCTAGTCCTCTTTCTTCCCTCTTAAAATTCTGCTGGGCTCAGCTTCTCTTTGAAATCTGTACCCAACCTGTTTGATTCAGTCAGTCTTACTCCTTTAGCTTTCAGGTCATCAGAGTGTTGAATGGCAAGGTAAACAGGGCCATGTCTTTAAATTTAAGGAACTCAACAGTTTAGTGGACACACACCTAGTCACCAGGGTGAATTCGTATTTGCACAATAAATGTGGTACACAAGTGTTCCATTTACTTGTTGAGAGACTTCCCAGTTATAATAACACAATAAAGACATGCTTTATGAATTAATTTTCATCTATGTGTAATATAATTAATCATCTTTCAATCATTCTAATTTTAATTTAGTTTTCTAAGCAGGATTTTTCTAAGTGAAGTCTTTATATGTGCATATAATTGAGGCTCCTGACCACCCACGGAGTGTGTGTGTGTGTGTGTGTGTCTGAAGATTTAATCCATTTGCTCTCACCAGATTGTAAGGGTGATGATTACTCTTTATTTTGTATCATTTAGTATTGGCTTGAACAGTGCCTGGCACAGAGGGATGATAAATAAACACACTTGACTGACTGACAGGTTTCTTTATTGGAGTCACTTACATTCTCCCTGGAATTTCAGCAGGAGGGTTGTATTTGAAAAGTTACATATGATCTAGAATAATACTCTAGCTCTGCATTTCACCTCATCTGTATTCCACAGATTGATTTGACAATTGCCTTATAAATAAAGCCAGCCAGGTGCTCCTGCATGACCCCTAGACAAAATCATATCCACATTGACTGGTTTCCTTTCAAGGTACTTGCATTGTTGTTTGTTGAACTACTTTTGCCCTTGGCATGGCTGATTTTTTTTTTAACACTTTATCCCCTGCCTGTCCTTCCTTCTCTGTTTTTCTCATAAACCTTTCCTAGAAAAGTGAAATCCTCACATTGAAAATAAATTTCCTATAACCCAGAGTCTGCGCAATTGCTAAACAATATATTTTTGAATGAATATGGCTTTGTTTTGGCCTAAGCCATTTTCCTTAAGGAAAGGCATCTGTTCCGCCAACCAACACAATATGATTTCGAACGTTCTTTGTGGTTTCATGTGTTCTTAAACCTTAGGAAGGAGTGCCCATTCCTGCCGAAGTCAGGAGGAGTGCTACCTCCAAACTCCTGTGCAGGAACTGGGCTGAGTACACTTGGTCCTTAACAATGAGGATTTGGGAGAGGAGGTAGGGGCTTCACTACCAAGTTGTTGAATTAAGTGAGAAAAGGTTTTGAACAATCTCCTCCTACTTTACACCAAGAAAGGCAGGCATTAGAACATAATTTTACCTCAGAAAATCAAATATTATGAATGTGCTTGCTCTTCTATTTCAATGCACACACACACACCAGCACACCACGCAAAGTTATTAGAAGGCATTTTCCAGATTTTTTCAGTATTCCAGTGGCAGGTAATTGAAGTTCAGAAAGCTTTGTTTTCCTTAAATGTCCATTGTGTTTCCAGAATAGATAACAGGCAGCAATATCTGCACATATATAAAAGGACTAGGCCAGAGAAATCATTAGTAAGCAATGTAAAAGTCACAGACCATAGCAAGAATAATGATTCATCTTGGAAAAACAGCAAATAAATAGTCTGTCCAAAAGCCATCTTCCTCTCTCCCACATTCTCCAACTGTCCATCTGAAGAAATGCATCTTGCTGTCTCTAGGTACCTAGAGTCCATCAACACTCTGGTTTCCCATTCTAGAAATCATAAAACACAAGGTTTCTTACACTTTATTCTAGTGGCAGATCCCCTTTAGGGCCCCGTGTGATCCCTGCTGACGTGGCAAGGCTTACCTGCTGTGGCTGATGGTGGAAGGTTTTGTGAAGACTCCACTCTGAATGGAGCAGATAAGCGTCTTAATTCTGATGTTTTGGGGGAAGGGACTTGACGAGGTGGGAGGTTAGATATGTGATTTGGAGAAACAAGTGACAAAGACTGGTCTTGGGGTGGCCATCTGAGGTCTTTCCCATTGGAATAAAGCTGCTGTGTCCTTTTTGAAATCATGGTTGAATATGCACTGATATTTGCAAAGCCTCAGAAGTGCTTTTTTGACTCAGAACTCAAAGTGGCCAGAAACAGCCCCAAAGAAGAGCCCTGGTAACCTTTGAACCTGCACAACAAAAGATCATTTAACTGCAAGATGAGAGACCAGGGACCTAGTCTGGCTTTACCACAAACAAACAGTACAATCTTGATGTAGATAGAAATTGTCTGTGCCACTCTTTCCTTTTCCTTATATAAGCAATTTGCACTGGGTTCTATCTTAATCCTCTTATTGCTTTAGAACTCTTTGATTCTCTCAGGCGTTATAAATGGTGGCAATTTTTTTTCTAACTTCATTGTGCTTCTCTCATAATAAACACAGAAGTTTCCTAGCCCCAACTCAAAGACATCTCAGTGGCTGGCAAGAGAGAGATGATGAACAGGCGCTTCTCCCTAAATTTGCCCAGCCAGAGTGTGAATCTTATTTTATCTGTCACTCTGCTGGTTTACAAAGATGGTAAGAAAAAGAGGGTAGGGAGATGAGTCTGCAAGCCGCTGCCTAGGGCCAGTGTCAGGGATTTCATTGAATTCCAACTACATGCAGGCACCCATGCTTTAACTTTTAGGATTTGGCTGGCATCATGATAATAACCCCAACAGAGGCAAAATGAGATCCCAAGTGGAGGGTCAAGGTAAAGAGAAATGGCTTTCCTAGATAAGTCAGTTATAAATAATGAGAAAGTAACATGTTGGCAGCCAAGAACAGAGGGCCAATCTCATGCCATTCCATAGAGTCCCACTGGTGGAATGTGAAACAGGCCGGAGAGCAAGGCGCATCCCCTAAAAATGTGGACAGCAACCAAACGCTATGTTCAGCCCTGTCCTAGAGTCCGTAGCATGTCATTTTTCTCCCCCTTGAAATCATTTGTCGGATATGAAGGCCGTTGTCTGTCTTGTGACAAATCATAGCAGAGAGGTCAAGACACAGCTACAGATCCCCCTTTCTCAGAGGGTGACCCTCTCATTTCAAAGGTCATGGGAGAAGGACCCTTTCACTTTGTGTTCATTGTTTCCAAGGCCGTCCTTTCTTTGGC